AAAAAACGAACAAAAAATAGAAACAAGAACAGAAGAAGAAGGAGAAGAAGAAGGACAAGGACAAGAACAAGAAAAAAAAGAACAATAATACTAAGCAATAAGAGAGAAATGTCGCCGAACCCATAACGTCACGACGGTCCTGAAGACGTAAGACGCAGCATCCGTGTGGGAGGGAGAGAGAGCGGGCGAGAGATGCCGATGAGGGAGGGAGAGGGGGAGGGGGAGGGGGAGGGGGAAGGGGGTGTGGAGGGAGAAGGTGGGGAAAGGGGAAGGGAAAGAGGGTGAGGGAGAGGCGAGAGGAAAGAGGGAAGAGATGAAGAGGATGAAGGTAAGGGTGAGATTTAGGGGAAGAAGGAGAGGGACAGGGGAGAGAGGGAAGCGGGGAAATTGAAGAGAAGAGAGAGAGAGAGAGAGAGAGAGAGAGAGAGAGAGAGAGAGAGAGAGAGAGAGAGAGAGAGAGAGAGAGAGAGAGAGAGAGAGAGGAGGGGATTGAGTGGTAGCGAAGTAACATTTTTTTTTTATTAGGGAGATGAAAGAAAACGAGGAAACCTCAATCAGCTGCAGGTTTTAACCCCCCCCCCCCCGCCACCCGCCCCTCCCTAAGTTGCTCTTCTACGCCACTAATTGCCGTCTAATTAAGACTTTAAACTCGTTACTCAGTCTTGAATACTTCCTCACATACTTAAACGTCACGTGACTGCTCCTAATTTGCGGGGTGGGGGGGGGGGGAGAGGAGAACAGGAGGATCTCGTCTCTAATTCCCCCTTGGTTTAAGGTCGATTGTTGCGTGGCGGGGTCCGTCGAAGCGGGCAATGCATGTTCGGGGGGATGGGATAATAGTCCGTAATTAGATGCGCAATAAGAGCGATTTTCCCGAGGGCGAATTGCACGCGCGGCTAGCCCCTTCGTGGGTATGTTGACCCTCGGGAGTCGGCGCCGTTTTCTCCTAAGTGAAGCAATTTCTCGAAGGGGACAAAGGCGAAGGGGGGGGGGGGGGAAGACGAGGAGGAAATGAGAGAAAGGCGAATGATGGAAAGGGGGAAATGGGGAGACGAAGGAAGGAAGGAAGGAAAAAGGAAAAAAAAAAGAAGACAACGAATTGGGAGAGAGTGAGAGAGACAGAGAAAGAGCAAGGAAGAAAAAAAATGAAAAGAAAGTAAAGGGAAGAAGAAGAAAAAAAGAAACAGGAGAGGAAGATAAAAGAGAAGAGAAGAGAAGGAATGTGATAAAAAAAGCGCACAGCAAGCAAGAGAGTGCCGGTCGGAGGTCCAATTATGCCGGCAATTTCACAAAACCGAATGTCCGATGGTTTATGCTTCAAAATAAGGAGGTTTAATTACAGTTCTTGGAATGCCTGGAAGCGCGCATGTCTTCGACCTACTTTTACGAAAATGGAAAAAAAAGTATTATGTTCTAACTCGACGGCAAAGAGAGAGAGAGAGAGAGAGAGAGAGAGAGAGAGAGAGAGAGAGAGAGAGAGAGAGAGAGAGAGAGAGAGAGAGAGAGAGAGAGAGAGAGAGAGAGAGAGAGAGAGAGAGAGAGACAGAGAGAGAGGAATGTATGAATGAAACCGCTAATTAATGCATCTCATTCATCTTCTTCCGTCCATGAAGCGGGTTGTTTACATATATTCCACGCATGTTTTATACACGTTCTCTCTAAAGAGACCTCGAGACAGCTGGAAACAATACGAGACTCGTTTTAAATGACGTAATGATGACGTATCGAGTGACGTCAGAAAGGGGCCTATGTCGTCACTTCGAATGTCATTGGTCAGTTCTTGTGAAGGGGGTGGGGGTGGGGGGGAGAGAGAGAGAGGTGGGGAGGGGTCCGTGTTTGAAAGTATGAGGAAAAGTGGAGTTGGTAGACTTAATATTTATTTATTCATGTTTATTCATTTTTTTGGCGATTGTTCTTGTGATGAATAGAAATACATGAGATTATGGTAATGACGTTGCTGTAACTGGAAGAACGAGAGTGTTTACAAATAATTAACCTTAATGCTAAAAAATCGTATTTGGTTGAGAGTCTGACGTGGCTATTGTAATTTTACTAATTGTTTATTTTAATGAGCTGTAATTATACATTCACGCAAAATTGTAACGCATAATTGAACTGTATTGAACCTTGGTTTGTTTTACTATAGACGGATATGACTGAAAATATTTGATAAAGAATCAGTTGTGGTAAAATGTGGCAAGTCATCGACTATCAATTAGATTACCTAAGTGTCCCCTCTAAGTGTGTCCGAGTCTGACGCGTTTTCTTTTTTTTAAGTCCAATCAGAAACACACACAAAAAAAAAATTGTCCATTTTGAAATTATACTTTTTAGTATTTCTTTGGCCCGAGAAATGTTATAAATGAGTGTATATGTGAAGTTTGTGATGCACGACTTTCTGCAACTATGAATGTCGAAATGATTTTCTATATTTATTTATTTATTTATTTATTTTTCTTCCAGGCTTTCAAGAATGGCGAATTTACCTTGAACATAACTG